CAACAAACGAGATGACATGGCTTTTCACCGGTGACCCATTTCCAAAGGGTTAAGGAGAAACTGTAACACTTCATCAAATGTATATTTTCTGCCACATCTTTTACAGACTGGTATGACATCACTGTTCACAGTAGCTCACAAGTCAGATCAGTGTGTTTGTGTTACTTTCAGTGTAACACAATACCTAGGTATATAAAAATATCATAAAACTTTGATGGATTAAATAGGTTCTAATATTAGTTAGCATAATAAATAATGATTTTTTTTTTGTAAAATATACCTACGTCTCATTCAATAGACATTAATTTAGGATTTTAGGGTTGTTTTTTTTTCTGGTAGATAGTTCTGTACCACTTGATTTCTTTGCAATGAATTTTATAAAAGTGCTCAAATCAAAACAATATATATATAACTGTCTGTATTTTAAAACTATCAAAAATTTTATAAAGTGATACTTGAAAATGTCTCGTTTTATGCAGAGAGGCAGGAATCTAGCCGAGACTGTCTTGGTGCTAGTTCAGAATCTGATTCTCCAAGAAGAAGTAATAACATATCAGATATACAACTTTCCAGTCAGCAGCTGTGTGCTCCCTCAGATCAGCATGAAAATGTTGTTAACATTAGTTCATCAGTATTTCCAGATCAAAATGTTTTGGAGTCTAACAACAGGCCTAGTAGTATTGGAATATCAAAGTCTGAGGATTCTTGTTCAGTTAATCAAGGTTTTATTGTTGATGAAACACAACAGAAAGCTCAACCCGACCTCTTGCAACAAGCTCTCGATGCTTCACTTATAAGTATTGAGGATCAAGACAACATTAACAGTCAGGAGCAACATTGCCATAAGAGAAATACTATAGACGTGCAGCATCATACTACCACCAGCAATGAAGAAAAAACTGGTTCCATGTCATTGACTTTTCCCGAATCTTCCAACTTCAGTGAAGTAGGGCCCGTAAGAAGCCGAGTGGGTACCTCGTTATCTGTTTCGTCTTTTGATGCTAGCAATTATATTTCATTTGGAGTAAATGTGTCTAATCCAAATGTGAATCCTAGTCAAAAAGAAATTAACTCTACTGTGCTACAGCCTGGGGTCATCTTGTCGAATCAGTGTGTAACGCTACCACAGGTATCACTTGTTTCTGGGTCAGTTTTTTCAGTTCCAATTTTGTCCATCAGTCAGTCAAACACTCAACACTCTTTTGTACAACAGCCAGCTTCTGCAATTTGGGTTAACAACTCTTGTTTAAACCCACCAACTGATAGTCTTACATCTGTTACTTCATCAAAATCAGCATTATGCAGTCTGAGTAATTCTGCCGTTACAAGTGTGAAAAATGTGATGAATCAAGCAGTGCTTCCAGGTATTTACTATGCAGTTGGAGGAAACAGTAACAACTCTACTGTATTGAACCTGAATAGCAGTACCACCAACATTAATCCAAACAACAAACTAAGTCAACAGTTACTGGTACAGCAAGTCATGAATAATGGTATCAGCTTGAATGGGGAAACAGTTCATTTGGCACCAACACTGCCACAGAATCAGCTAGGATTATCACAGTCATATACACAGCCACTCAGTAGTGTTATTATGCCACAGATAAATGGTGTAAGAAACCCTGTTTTTTTGACTGGCACTCAGACTCCAGTCAAGATGGGATCTTCAGATCTTCAATATCTCACATTATCTCCAAGTAAGTGGATTTCTGATTGTACATACAAATTAAAAAATGATCTTTTAAGGGATGTGTTTGTGTGTTAAACCCTTCATTAGAATTTATACAGTAATAGGCTTAACTTCCATAAAGCCAAGTTTTACTTTGTTAATGCAGTGTGTTATTTGTTGACGTTTAAATATTTCCATTATTTGCATTTTAAATAGCTATGTAGTATTTGGTTGAATATATTTAAGATTAAAAAGGTTTGTTTAAATGTAACTATTATTTGATATTTTGTGATCAGATTTGTTGTCCTGATAG